TGAGAACGACCACAGACAACACACTTTAAATGGCTTTTACATCTTTTCCATTGGTGGCCGATTTTCAGGCAGCGAAAGCAAGCCCCTCTTTTTGAGCTTTAAAACATCATGATGCATTATGGTTGCCCTGGCAAAACAGACAGCTCTCACGGCCCAAATTTACGAGACCAATTGCAGTAGGATATTCTGGATTTTTCTTCAGCTTCATCCTAGAATTTCCCTCACCCTTTTGTTCGAAGGAAGTTTTTTCTGCCAATCCAAAACCATTCGCTGCTAGAACCAATCGCTGTTCATTATCTACCTCTTGTTTGAGGAAAGCCATCAATTGCCTCAACTTTATTTCCAAAGGAGTGGTCGAAACATCACCTGGACGTTCACTTGAGTCAACTGTGATAAACAATGTAGAACGTGGCCAAACTCTGAGTAACTGATGTGGCAAACAAGATTCAATAAGAGGAAAAAGCATTTTAGCATATTTATCAGAAGTAATTCCTAAAGTTTCTAATACCCGTAACTGTGTTTCTAAACTATCATACAATACGGACACATCCAGTTTTTTCTCTAGAAGCTGAGTTTGATAAAACGAGTTTCAATAGTCCTTTTACATATACCTCAATCTGCAAATCCTCACGACCAAATCTGTCCTGCAAGCTCTGTATAATTGTATTACAGTTTTTCCCCATAGCGGGGTAACTTTCGACAAGTTGTCTTGCTCTACTACCGCTCACTGTAGCTTGAATGAGGACCTCTATTTCATCATTTGGGTCGATAAACGGATCTTCATGCACTTTCTTGAACTGGGCCCAAAAGGCTAGCCAATCTTTGATACTTCCATCATAATGTTTAAATTCGATAGTAGGTAACTTACATTTTCTCATACCTGTATGCTCTGATGACTCTAAACTTCCCGCTGTGGATGCGGATCTTGCATAAGGTTCCCTGTCTTGTGGTATCCTGGAAGCACCATCAAGTTTTTCCCACCTTGACCGCAATGCAGTGAATCTTATAAAGTAAAGTTCCCGACCTTCCAGTTCACTTTCGAGTTCATCTTCTGTCGCGTTTTCCAGCAATAACTCAAAAAGTTTGCGGTCCAATACCTTTAGTTCGTAATGTTTACCCGACAAAAGTTCCCATACCACCCGCGTAGTGTCTTCACACACCGTGGTTAGTAAAAGCGGTTCCAGCTCATTTGCCGTTCGCGTAAAAGAACTCCTTATAACTTTTCTACATTTCTTTTTAGTCTCGATCTCGGTCATGGCGAACCCGGTTCTAAACCACCAACGCGTTTCCAATATATTTCAAAACAACGTGAACCGTGTGGTAAAAGCTCGCTTGCTTATTTTTCCCGACTATCCGAATACTTCAAAGTTTCAAAAATCCCGTAAAAACAGTGAAAGTCCTGTCACGGTCGCCAATAATGCCGCACTGCACGCCATATGCAACAGGTAGACAAAGACGCCTGGGAGGGGGTGACGTTCTATCAGATCAGGTCATGCGTACCCCGCTCAAGAATCTTCTGGGTTTCATTGAATACACAGGGATATTGTGGAAGTAAAATTAAAATGCGAGGGCACTATAGGACAAAATAACTGAGGTGCTGACCAAACACCACCTCGGCATCCTTCTTCTTTTAGCCCTTCAACCCTGGGTGAGTCTTCGCTGACTGCCCTACTTGCTTCCATCTTACCTGGTCGTCCATTAAAAGTGGATCGAAAGGTATATCCATTACTGACAATTCTGCTTGGATATTGTCCCTCAATCGTATACGTGGTCTTCCTGGAGACCCTTTTCCTGTTGGCACTTCTTCCCATACCAGGGTTAAAGACTCATTGTGGTGTCATTTGGGAGTCTGTGCACATGACCCGTCCATCTGAGGCATTGGGACTTTATTTCTCGAATAATATCGGTGTTGTCATACATTGCTTTTATTTCAGCATTCATCTTGACGCGGTATAGGTCTGTGCTCACGTGCAAGACCAAACCAAACATTTTCGTAAACACTTTTTTCTCAAATCTTCTGAGCTTTTCATCATTGTCTTTTGTCATAGTCCATGTCCCACATCCATATACACAGTACAGGTTTAATGGCTGTTTTGTAAATTTTAATCTTGAAAGCCCTTGTCAGACATCTTGACTTAAATAGGTTATTTAGGGAACATATAAATCTGTTGGCTGACTGTTTTCTACTCTTTATCTCTTCCGTGATATCGATGTCTTCAGATATTGTTGCCTCTAGATACTTAAAGCGTTTTATTCTTTCAAATTGTAAGTATTAATTGGTAGGTATTGTCATATTCTCTCTCTCCGTGCTGACCCCCTCTGACCCCCTTCTCTAGGATGATGTTGAAAAGAAGAGGTGATAAGGCATCTCCTTGTTTGAGGCCACTATGCACTGTAAAAGGTGCTGTCGAATT